TCTCAAAGTATATCATGGATTACTTTGTAAGTAACAATGATACCAATGTGAGAAAATTCGCGCAGAACAACAAAAGAAATGCAGCCTATAAAAAGCTTTTGAGTGAACCAGAGGGAGAGTGCTTTGAGACCATCGAAAAAAAAACCGAAACCGTTTCGATCATGTTCGATCGAAGTTTCGAAGATATGGCCTTTAAGAAAGGCCTTAGTGCAGAGAAGAGGTGTGTGCAGTTGGCTTGTGATACAACGCATGAACATCTGCAGGTATCGCATGGCAACGGGCGGCGGCAACTCTCCGGAGGAGGAATCGAATTTTGCCAAAAGAACGACTGTTGTCCTTTCGACACTGACACGGGGGAATTTCTGTGGCCATTTTACGATAAAACCCTATGACAGAGCCGTTTAAGGAAGGGGAAAGTTAGGTGGGGAAGGTATGTTCTTCATAAAATATCTTGAAAATAGTGTTGGTTATTGCAGCGAAAATCTTGCAGGGATGGTCATCACGAGGGAAACGAAGATGACGCAGAACCCATCATGCTAGGAGCACCAACATGTTTAACTTCACTGTCACTCTTGTATTTAGGACGACTTGGATAGAGACAGTGACCACATCGACGTACCGATTAAGCGAAAACGGATTACTGCGTCTGTACTGCTGGAAGAGCAGTACAGATTGTGTCAGGTCAGTCAATTTCTTTCGTATGCGCTCCTCTAATCCTATTCTTTTGGACAATGCCGCTTCTTCAATCAATTAATGCATTTACTAAACGTGCTGACCGAAAGCTTTGTTTTGCATAGTCAAATTCGTGTTGAGAGGCAAGAAGCCGGCGTTAGAGACCTCATTGGTAACGCCAATATCGAAGAATCTGTTCAGTCAGTAGAAGAGAAGTATGACACCTCCTCCCTTCTTCCGGCTGCTTCCGAATGCTCCCATATGAATGAGTGTCTGCCCGGAAATCCGCACTCGATGTACATGAAGCGAGCCCTGACATCCACTACCGCAATCGTATTGATTTCGTAACATGCCTTGCGACAGTAGTAGAGGTTGCCGAAGTTAAAGGGCCGCTGAATCCGCATCAGACATCCACAACACACCCAATGACATTCAAGTAAAGCATTTTATCTAAATGATAAGGAATTTTCATGGTGCTCTTATTTGTGAATCTCGAGATTCTAGCATTCTCGAGACCCTCGCAAGCACCAGCTTTCCTCCGTCAGCCAGAAGCGGAGAAAGCGGGGCTCTATTGTTAGATATTTAAGAGTATCCTCTACACAGGTGATGACATCACTCACTGCCTTCTGGCACACCCCGAAACAGGCAGCTATAACAGTTTGATGATAGTTGATGGCCAGGTAGCGGAGTGTGATGAGGACCTCAAGCGAAAACAGAATAATTGTAGTACGCCTTCTTTGAAAAATGCCCAAATCTGGTCCTCTCTGCTGCTCTCCCAAGGCTCCAGTCCCGCATCCGGCAGGCGGTTCGAGCATTTTCACTTCTTCTCAACATCTTCTCTGCGAAATCTGTACTTGGAGTATAAGGTAGATGCGATCGTTTTGCTGAACACAGAGGAAGGATAGATGCGTTGGTAACGAACGTTTCTCTGTGGCGCTAGTGACGGAAGTTGAAGAATAGCGAAGCC